TCGTAGTCGTAGTCGTAGTCGTAGTCGTAGCCGCAGTCGTAGTAGTAGTAGTAGAAGTAGTAGTAGTAGTCGTAATCGCAATAGTAACCGTAGTAGCCGTAGTAGTCGTAGTGGTAGTGGTAGTAGTAGTAGTAGTAGTAGTAGTAGTAGTAGTAGTAATAGTAGTAGTCGTAGTAGTAGTAGTAGTCGTCGTAGTAGTAGTATAGTCGTCGTAGTACTAGTAGATTTAGTAGTAGTGTAGTAGTAGTTACTAGTAGTAGTCGTAGTCGTAGTCGCAGTCGTAGTAGTAGTAATAGTAGTAGTAGCAGTTTGGTAGTAGTAATAACAGGAGTAGCAGAAGTAGTAAATGTAGTCGTAGTTGTAGTAGTAGTAGTAGTAGTAGTTATTGTAGTAGTAGTAATAGTAGTAGTAGTAGTAGTCGTGGTCGTAGTCGTAGTCGTAGTCGTAGTAGTAGTAGCAGTAGTAGTAGTAGTAGTACTAGTCGTCGTATTCGTCGTAGTAGTCGTAGTAGTAGTAGTAGTAGTAGTAGTAGTAGTCGTAGTAGTTGTAGTAGTGGTAGTAGTAGTAGTAGTAGTAGTGGTAGTAGTAGTAGTAGTAATAATAGAAATAGTAGTAGTTGTAGTAATAGTAGAAGTAGTCGTCGTAGTCGTAGTCGTAGTCGTAGTCGTAGTCGCAGTCGTAGTAGTAGGAGTAGTAGTAGTACTAGTAGTAGTAGTAGTAGTAGTAGTAGTAGTAGTCGTAATCGCAATAGTAATCGTAGTAGCCGTAGTAGTCGTAGTAGCAGTAGTAGTAGCAGTAGTAATAGTAATAGTCGTAGTAGTAGTAGTAGTCGTCGTAGTAGTAGTAGTAGTCGTCGTAGTACTAGTAGATTTAGTAGTAGTTTAGTAGTAGTTACTAGTAGTAGTAGTAGTAGTAGTAGTAGTAGTAGTAGTAGTCGTAGTTTAGTAGTAGTAATAGCAGGAGTAGCAGAAGTAGTAAATGTAGTCGTAGTTGTTGTAGTAGTAGTAGTAGTTGTTGTTGTAGTAGTAGTAGTAGTAATAGTAGTAGTAGTAGTAGTCGTCGTCGTGGTCGTAGTCGCAGTCGTAGTCGTAGTAGTAGTAGTAGCAGTAGTAGTAGTAGTAGTACTAGTCGTCGTATTCGTCGTAGTAGTCGTAGTAGTAGTAGTAGTAGTAGTAGTAGTAGTAGTAGTAGTAGTAGTAATAGAAATAGTAGTAGTCGTAGTAGTAGTAGTACTCGTCGTCGTAGTAGTAGTAGTAGTACTAGTAGTAGTAGTTGTAGTTGTAGTAGTAGTAGTAGTAGTAGTAGTTGTAGTCGGCCGACGTCCCTCCGACGCGGTGGGCAAGACGAAGCGAGGACCAAGACATAATCGGACGGGGACGAATCGGGGATCTCTGAGATCCGGCGGCTCTGGAGGATGTGTCGGGCTCCGCGGCCGTTGCAGAGCGCTCCAGAACGCTTTGAGAGAGTTCCGCAGAGCTGTGGAACGACACTGTCCTGCTCCTGCTTGGACGCCTGAAGAAATAGGCACCGAAAACATGGGTACGAAGCCCAACAACAAATGTTGCCCAAAGCCGACAGAGGCCGATGCTGGGTAGGCGGCCTTCTGTCTCGACTGGACCAACGTCCGCGGCGACCCCGACAGCGAGTCCTGTTCAACATGAGCAGGAACTGCTGTTGGACGTTGCACCCATTTCTCCAAGGACCGACCACAGCGATGTTTAAACGAAATGGCTCTTACAACGAACAACGGACCGAGGCCCAACGTTGAAAACGAACGTTGAAAACGAAACAGGTGCCAGACGTAAACGAACGACCAAGCGGGCCGTTCAAAACAACGAACAACGAAACGGGAAAAAAACAAAACACAAAACGATAAACGAGACGAGGGCCCAAACCAAACCAAACAGCGCTGTAGTCGGCCCTTGCATGCTTGTCCCGTACCCATCGCGTTAAGTCGGGCATGTCCCTCTACAGCAGGAATATCCCAAAAGAGTCAAACAATAGTCCAGGGACGATTGTTTGGATATGCCTGATTAGTTCTGGATCGTGTTTTGCTACGTTTTGGCTGTGCCTTAATACTTTTGACTCCGTTTTGCCTATTTCAAAGTGTTCGCCCAAAATCCCTCTATAGGAGGACATGCCCGACCTACCCATTGCGCTCGCCCCGAATGCCCTGGGCCCGCTCGTGGGCCCCCCCCCCCGGAAGAAGCAGGTAGAAACATGAAGTAGGAAGGCGTTGGAAGTAGATTGGGTCCCCTCCGCCCCCTAAGGAGGACGGAACAGGTGAAGCTACTCAATCATTTCGATAGGAAGGCGCTTCCAGTGGATTGGGATCTGGGAATCGACGACCGATGGGCACCCATTGCGATCGCCCCCCAACCCAAGGCCCTGCCCGCCAGTGGCCCCCCGCCCCCCGGCGGGGCCCCCGCCCCGAGGCCTGCACGGAGGACACCTGCACCACGTGGCCGCGGCCCGCGGCGACCCAGGCGGGCAGCAGCGC